AGAAGAGCGAACACACATGACAGAAGAACAGAAAGGAAAATACCCATAGAGTGAAGAGAACATGTATATCGCAAGATTATTATGCTTGATATGAGATTAGGTTAACTACTTCCTAACAATTTGTTAAGACTTTTCTCTCGCGTGTTTTTCATTTTTCTTATACCTATTAATAATGTAAAAATAGGTAAAAATTTATTTTTTAGATAAATTTTATAAAAACCGCGAATACCGCGGTTTTCCTTTAGCGGTTTGCGGTTTTTGATTTTCGTCAAAATACCGCGGTTTTGCGGTTGCGGTAAACCGCGATCAGAAACCCTATCTGAAAGCAAAAGAAATCAAAGATAACAAATTATCCACAAAATGGTGAAATGAAGTTCTAAACCTGCACATTCGTTCACATAACGAAAACAACACTTTGTTCGGTAAAATTATACTAGAATAGAAAGAATATTTATCCAGTTTTACAAATTTAGCACGGTACAGACACGTACTATTGGTTTATATCACTGAATAGCCTAAACTGAAATTGCCATTGTACAAGTTCTTTCAACTGTTCCATTTGACCCGAATTAAACGATAACATTGTTTTATTCATTCTCCTTCTATATTTGTTTTCGTTGTCATAAATCGATTGATATTTATACATCTTCAGTTTACGTGGTATAACAATTTGAATAAACAAATACACAATCTAAGAAAACCTAAATCAACAGTTATAAACAAGACACATCTTACAACACTATTCATGTTCGTCTCTTCGCTTTTTTCCAAAATCTCTAACTTCATCCAATCATTCATTATCTCACACGAATGTTCATATAATTTCAGTAAATAATGAGCATCCCGCTGAGCATACAGGAGTGCCGCTAATGCTAATGGGCTAGACAAATAAAAAGCAAATTAGGTTTTATTTTAAAAGAAATAAGATTAAATAGTCCGTACTAATCCCAACTCACCGAAAACCTCAATCATAAGCTTGCATTTTATCCTTTTCTTCATCGACGTCCATGTTGGAAATACGTCTAGACAATAACTAAAATCTGATCGTTCGCAACCCAATAGCCACATGGCTATCTCTGTATCAAATACTTGTCGAAACCGGAGATCATAATCTTTCATCAAATATTTGACGTCTTGAGAGCAGCCATGAATAACCTAAATTGATTAATAGAAAAATTCAATGCTCAGGTAGTAAAAGAAGGTCTTACTTTTATGGTCGAATCATCCATAAAAACTTCATTTAATAAGAAAATATCATCGTCATCTAACATCGTTGATTGTACGTCGATAATGTAATCATCGTTCTTTGTCGATATTTGCATCAACACTGTTTTTTGTTCAAAGTAACGATATTGATCACGCTAAATAAAATAAGAATACATGCATACCTAATGAAAAGGCTAGATGCTTCTAAACATTTAGAAAAGATAAAACCTAAACAAATGCTGTTCGATAGAGTGTCTCGATGAAAAACTATCAAGTTGTGTTCAGGTAAGCTCGATTTAAAGCCGAAAAAAGTTCAGACTTTTCGGAAGCAACACCGAGTTTTCCCGGAGAAAAGATGAGGTTCTTGTGAAGAAATATTGGGTCTCTCGACGAAAAACTATCAAGTTCTCTTCCAGTAAGCTCGATTTACCCCGAAAAACGCTTCTTCACAAGCGCGCCGGTTCATTGTACTTAGTCTGTTTTTATCTGGCTGCAAAGTAGCATCCCTATCCATTTTTTTCAATTCCACATAATCAAAAACATTGAGCATCGGATTAGTTGGCTTTTTATTTACATACCTTCAGTAGTTATGGTTGCTGATCCTGCTGATCCATCTTTCAATGAATATCTCACACGTACCGAGTCATAACCGAAGCCACAAATGTTCTGAATTTGTGGCACGATAGCAAATTGATACGAGTCATCCTCAATGATCCAAAATTTCTATAAATGAAAATATTAAAATATGTTTCCTCTGCCTGCAGACATTGCCAAACTGTCAATTTTGCACAATCCTACTTTGAAAGAGTAGATAATTAACATAGTATCAAAAATCTAAACATACTCTTTTTGCTTGTAAATCAGCAAGAGCGCCTACAAATTTAAAAACATATTAGACGTGCAATTTTGCTAACTATTGACTAAATGTCTTTACTTCTCTTACCTTCTTCACTCATGTTCCCCAACTCGGCTAAAAACTCTACATTCCTTCTATCGGTTATGCGACGTCCGGGTTGAACACCAGTCATACCATATGCAGAAAAAGTTTCATCATAATCTGTTGCAGAAACGCAGCAGCATTTTTGCATAATCGTCATCTGAACATAGAATATGCTTACTTTCATACTCGTTATCATCCAAAGACTCCAGTGAAGTCAAATCAATGTCCATAGTTTCTTGAAATGCAATATCATTCGCATTTGTGTCAGCAGACTTAAGAGATGATAATATTTTTGTGCAAGAAACTTTATCAAGTCACTGATGACTACACTAAAATAATACATCGAACGTACCAACGGTACAATTGCTGGAGATTGGGCAGGCGCAAGCAGTTTTNGCGAGATAAAGATATTGCAACGTCTATTTCAACATCATAAAATGTTGAAACAGCTGAAAGATGAATTTCACGATAATTTCCACGATGGCGCGTTAAGTACAACTTTATCAGATTTTTTCATGGAAAGAAACCAAACCTCCGTTAAAGTTTTACCATGAAATAGACACAACAGTCATTAACTGGATGCCAAATACGGTTCAGTTATTTCCTATCGATACTTGCTGTAAGAATAACATGAACAGTGGCAATTTCATAAGGGTTTTTTATGCAGCGTTTGTTGTCGCAACTTTTAGCTGACGGAAATTGTTTGATGCATGCAACTCTGATAAGTATGATTGGAATGCA